TGTTAATTGATTGCTTTGTGTTTTACCAGTTTTGTTCTTCTTTTGTTTTGCTGTGTGTTGACCAGGTTACAGAACTAAAACAATAACCTCTCACTACTGCCATGGTGCAATATGATAGGGTGCAACACAAGCTGAGTTACACACATCAGCTGCTGACAGTATAGTAAAACAAAATTGGTTGTATGGAAAACTGGACATGGGAGACTCCAGGAAAAGTTTCTTGTCCTTCTAATACGTGTTCTCATGAGAAGCTTGAAACTACAGTGTTAGTGCATGTCACATGTAAAATTCAGTATGGTAAACAGATATCTTCAAGTTGTCAAATTAAGTGTAACTCGATTCATATTTCAACTAAGTTTTGCTACTTCTTTAATAAGTTGGAAGAAGAACATCTGTAGCACTAAGAGAAGAATCACTGTGGTTTAATTACCTAATGTATTTTATGTTTAAGCAACACATTATAATAAAAGAAAGGTGGAAAAACCATCAGTGTCTTCTGCCCTCATGTCCTTCTTAGTTATCTACATTTGGAGCTCATGTTTGGAAGTTACCAAGTACCTCATGACAAGCACTGAAGAGTCAAGCTTTGAATAAGAATCAGAGTGATAACACCTTGTGTAAGAGGAACTGTACATCCTTGAACTGTGTAGTCACAGCAGCGATAGTAGGTTCTGCGGGGAGTCAATATGTTATGGTCCAGCTCTGATATGCCCCTTTATAATAGGACTTGTTTCCCTCCCTTGTTTATAGAAGATTAGTTTACTAAATGTATTTGTGCATGCTTTCTTATCAATGAATTCTCTATCATGCTGACGATGAGGGGATCTGATTCTCTGAATCAGCTTAACCCACCACATTATCCCTCTGTGACTTTGAGCCCAGCTCTTTTTCACTTTGAATTTTGCAGCTCTTTGAAGGTTTTTCAGAAGCCAGGCACAGCTTAATCAAGGATGGCGGTTGGTTGACATTGAACGCTGCTGCTGAAACAGCTGTTGCTGAGCTTGTCAAGATGGATAGATACAGTGATTTAACCTTGCAGTGTCAAGTAATCTCCCTTAGGTATTTTAATTCATGACATAGGTTCAGAGTAAAGATGACTTTGCATTCAGCAGCCCAACTTTTTTGGGTCACGGGCTAGTGAAAATTGTCAAGGAGTCTCGGTTTTTGTTGTGAGGTTTTCTGATTTTCTTCTGGAAATTGTGTTGCTCCTTCCTCTGAATCCTGCACCGGGGTCTTCATGGTAGGAGCGTGGTGCCTTTGGAAATAGTGCCTATTAGTGCCTAATAGTGAAGTAACAAATAGGATATTTGTTACTTCATAGGAGAAAAGCATGTAGCAGTGTCTAGGCTGGCCTACTTTTTCAGTACTTACCTCTTTTCTCGTTTTTAACAGTAAAAATATTTTCTCACTTGTTTGAGTTCTCATATAGTATATGCGTTATAGGAATGCAGCTGTAGTTATCAACTCTGAATACAGTTTTATCAGGTGTACTGAAAGTACATCTTGATTGTTGTGCAGAAATATTTTCACATTTTTGACTGGCTGTTTTTCTGTGGCTCAGCATTCCTGGATATATGGAGAAGATGTAAAAGGAAGGAGAAAATACGAAAATGAGAAAACTATTTGGTTTCTTATAATATTATGAAGATGAGCTACACTTTAAGACACTGTTTAGATTTCTTCTCAGTAAGTTCTGATAAAAAGCTAGAAATTGAGCAACTATTAGATGTGGGAAAAATGCTTCTATGATTTCCAGAACTGCTACAAGTCTAAGGAAACAGAGAACTGTGCACTGATCCTAGTTTGTTGTTCATCTTCAGAATAAGAATATACTTGCCTGTTTCTTTAATGGTTTTGTATTTGTTTATGATTAAACACAGAATGCTCTTTAGGAATGGCCTCACAGAATGGCCTTTTGGAACAGTACTTAGGTACGCTGTTGTTAGTAAGGTCTTAGATCTTCAGATACTGCTATAGCACACCTACAAAGCTACATACTTTTAGAAAGAGTAACTGAACTGTGAACATTTTTTTTTTTCTTTCTCCTTTCTTGTAGTAGCAGAAACAATTATGCCTGTGGCAAAACCGCATATTTCAGTGACCTTTTCAATTCTGTGAAGTGTTGCTCATGTTTCATACATCATGTTTTACATGTTAAATTTGGATACGTATAATCAACTTTGTGTATGAATGAGGAACTGCCCATGAACTACACTTACAGCTGTTTTATCAGTGTCTACGTTTGTCTAAGAAAGTGGATATGTTGTCTTCCTTCCTGATAGTAACTCATTGTGGCAGTTAACTGTCTCTGTTTTGTTCATATGTTTAAAAGTGCAAGATTTGCAATGTGCCCTGTGATTCCTTACTAGAAACTATGAACAGGTGACACTTTGGGCACTGGGCTGTTTTGTACCAAGACACAGCAAAATGGCAATGAGCGTTACACCAAAATTCTGAAGAGATGCTTTACTGCAGAATTTCTAAACTAGAAAATGGTGCAATTAATTATGCTTTAAGAAGATAATTTCGTAAAGATTGCTTTCACTCTAGTATTTGGAATCTAAATAAAAAGGCAACCAATTCAGGACATCTAAAAACTTTTGTTTGTTGTGAAACGATGGAATATTACTGAATTCCTTGCAGATATTTTGTGATGTGCATACTGTGGCTTCGTGCTCTGCTTTATAGTGGCTGTCTTCGGTGCATCTGGGTGTGTTTTGGTTGGTTAGACAAGCCAGGCAGAAGTAGCCTTAACTCTGCCCATTAAAATGGACGGCTGTCACCATAGCACGAGAGTGGCAAACACAAAACTTATTTGGACAGACAGCTGAGGCTCTCTGGTCCAATATTTTTGAACCCTGCTATAAGGTGTATGTGTATTGGGGTGGAGGAGGAAGAGAAGGGGTGACTATCCAGGACTGAGTAATTGAAGTGAATGCTGGTAATTAGAATCACAGAGTCATTAAGGTTGGAGCAGACCACTGTGATCATCTAATCCAACTGTCAACCCATCAGTTGCAGATTTGGAAAGTAAGGTCTGGGTTGGACAATGTGACCTTCAGGGTTCCCTTTCAACATAAATCATTCTGTGATCACGTGGAAAAATGTTGGTATGACAACCATTCTATATTTACTGTCTCAAAGTGATGTGGTTAATGCCATCTGTATCAGACTGTATCTACAATATTCTTAAACACTTTCACAGATCCTCAGAAACTACTCAGAAGTCTGAGATAAGCTTGCTCTTTCACATTCTTTAGCTAAGTTTGGAAGTGTCCTAGAATGAGTCCATTAGGCTCAGTTAAATTGAAAGTATTCAGACTACTTAAGTTTTCTGTAACCTGTTCTTTACCTGTAACAGGCTGATCTTGACCTGTTCTCTCACTTACGCTAAATGTGAGCCATCTGCTCACTCACCATCTTTTTATTGCACTGGTACAACAAAGGCATTAAACACTGACTTTTAATTTTTTTTTAGCATCATCTGTTGTCAGAGATCTGTTCCCTTTATGCTAAGTAAAACTGGAGTAGTGTAGTTACACTATGTATTTGGCTTGTTGATGAACCTTACTGAGACTAATAGAAATGAGCAAGATGATCTTACACTCCTCAGAGAAATACAGTACAAAGTTTAATGGTATAATGCAAAGAGTATAGAGTATATTACAAAGGTGTTTTCACCTGGGAAAGTGAACAGTGATATATTAGTCATTTGTCCAGGTGTTTCCCTATTATTTATAGGACTTTCAGAGTTGCTTTGATCCTGCTTGTGATAAAGCTTTTGTTATTGATTCTCATACTGAAAAGGCCCAATCTTGTTTTTATAAAAGAAAGAAGGGCCTTGAGGTTTCTTCTTCCTTCACTCTTTTTTTTCTTTTTTCTCATTCTGATATCGTGCTTAGCAGATCCTCAGCTTGCCTCTGGAGGAATTGCTATTTCAGTGGCATTGTGTTTATTCATCTGAGCCTGAAACCAGGCTCACTGCTTCTGGGGGCTGCTCCCCTGATTTGAGGATTGGGGTTTTTCGTTTCCACTTAGTGTCTTCGTGTTGCTGGTTTTGTTTCTTCTTGGTCAATGCAGTCATCTCAGTGATGCCTGCCAATCTAATAATTCAATAGTCTTCTGTGGTACAAGGTTTTCTTTTCTTTTTTTAATTTGCTGTAAGTCTATGAATTGCATATCTCATTTTCTTACTCTTACGAGTTATAGTCTTTCTTTCTTTATGAGAAGGATCTTGGGAATCTGCTTTAATGGAAAGTAAGCAGTTTGTTCAGTCTCAGTTTCAGTGGGGAATTAAGGAGGGGTGAGAGGGGAGGGAATACCCTGTACTGTCCATCAGTAGTCGTGAAATATTGCCCTTATTTAGCCAGTATTTGTCAACAGGATAATAAGGGTATATAAACACGTAGACACAGGTAGATGATATAATGCAACAAATCATATTTCCTTAGGAAATCAGATTGAGAAGTAGTGTCTAAGTGAAATCTCCAGCCCTGATATATGCTGAATAAGTTGCTGAAATTGCACAAATTAGAGCAGAGCAATTAGTCCAGGCTATTACTGCAACAGTACATTCTGCTATTTGTTCACTCCAGCAGCCAGCTAAGTATCTAACTAGCACTTTTGATGTGGTATTCACCCATTTTGTATGCACAGTTGCAGCATTTTCACAGTTATGCTGTGCATATAAATGATCCAAAGTATATTCTGCAACTCTGAATGAATGCTGTTATCTACTTGTCATTCTTACATTAAAAAAACCAACACACTCTTAATTAACTGATAATACAATAATGAATGAGGAGGCAAAACTGTGATGCAGGTGTTCTCCTGAACTGTCAGTTATTCTATTAATATTTCATGATGTTATTTTTTCCTATTTGTGTACCTATTTGTAAATCTAGATTTACAACTCTCACACCTTTCCTCCTTTTCGCCTCCCCTATTCTATCCCTCAGTATTTCACTATGTATGCTTAACTTTTTTTTCATTATTTGCAGGTCTGCTATTAAAGCACTGCGTCCTGGTGGATCATTGGTCTACTCTACTTGCACTCTCTCAAAGGAAGAGAACAGCAGTGTAATAAATCTCATTCTGAACTCCTGCAGTAATGTTATTCCTGTAAATATAAGTGAAATTGCCAAAGCTGTTTCCCAGGAATTCACTTTTCACGGTGCTACACAACAGCATGAACTTCTGGTTCTGCCAGAGAAAGGGAGAGCGTGGGGTCCAATGTATGTAGCTAAATTAAGGAAAATGTAGTCCGCTTGATGCCCGTTAGTTTATTCACCAATCAACTAAATTGTATTTATTTCTACTATACTGTGTGTGTTTGAGCACACGCATGTCCAAGTCAATTGAATTTCGAATTTCGCTGTTTTGTGTATGGAGCTCCCTAATAAAATGAAAATGAAATGTAACCTGGTTACCTGAAAATACAAAATGTTTTTTAACATGGGCGTGTGGGCGAAATCGGAGCCTGGCAGTATTTTCCAGGTGATGCTCTTAAATGGATTTGTACTCCCGAATAGAGGCCTGTGTGGTTCTTTTTGTACTGTTTTAAAATTACTAATTCTGATGAAATAGAGTGTATTTTTCAAAAATGGTTTGAATGGTGCCTGCTTCTGAAGTCTTGGAAATCCTGCATTCATTCTTGAAGATACCTTGAAATGTGTTATCTTGAAATGTGTTTTCTTGTAAGAGCTGCTTTGTATGCAAAGTTGGTCGTCTTAAGCTCTGACTATGCCTAGCAGTGGCAAAACAGGTTTAATATTAGTTAGGTTGTTTAATGGTTGAAAACTGTTTTATGTTTAGCTGCTGACCTTTGCATCTGTATATCAGCACCAGCCTTTTTTAGCTTACAAAAATAATTTATATTTTTGAAAGGTCTCCGTAACAGTTGACTTAGATGTGTTTAGCTTTGATACTTAGTTTGTGACATAATGCAGTATATCGAGCTGGCTGTGAGGCACACAGAACCAGAATGATTAATAACTGCAGTAGTGGTATCGTATTCAGACAGTTCTGTTACATGATTGCAGTAATTATGAACAAAACAATCTGAAGAGGTGGCTTATATCCCAAGTTAAGGAATGTTAAATGATTTGTGATGGTACATCTGTGTTGTGTACAGGAGATTCAGTGAGAAGAATACATATTAATATTCTCTTAGGTTTCCTCAGTTCTGCTGTGCAGTGCTGTAGAGAAATATGGCTGTATAGGCAGGTATGTACATGTTCATGCATATATACACATGCAAACTGTATTTTCACGTATACTGTGGATGGACTGAGTGTATAAAGCATCGATTTGTCAGTGCTTGGCTTTTGCCTCTGAATAAATCATGTAACAGTATATCTGTTTGGTTGGATGCCTGTGTTAGAATAGAATGGAGTCCTCCTGTGCCACTCTTAGCAAAGAAATTAAGTCGTTTCCCTGACTGAAGCTTATAGTGAATTTTTAAGGAATGCTGTTGTCAAGAGTGGAGATTTTTTTGGGGGTGTATGGCACATGTCTCAAGTTTGCGTGATTGTGTACATATGGATGTCATATTTTGTGTGTACGTATTTGTGTACATGCATGTACAATCAATCCCAATCAAAACCAAGACTACTGCAGTTTTTTTTCTTCTTGAAAACAGAAGGACATTGGCTCATAAATACTGGAAAAAAATAGTTAAAATGATTATTGATTCAGCACCTCATTAACAAAGGTGAGAAGAATGTTGATGATGTGAGGTCTTCTGTCAGAAGTTCCATTGGAAATGCAGTAGTTCTACTTCAGTTTCTCTAGTAATTCTGTTGTGGCAAGCTGAAAAATGCTTGTTACCATTATGAGTAAACTACCTTTTGTCACTGGAATGAATTTTGTTTTTAATGCTTTTATTCTTTGCTCACCTTGTTATATTGATGGGCTTTAACTCTTCACAGCAGTCCTGTCATAGACTGCTTAATGTCTGTCCCCACTCAGCTGTATATTTACTGGGAGCCTCCTGGACCTAGTATCTAAAGCAGTGAGATGGCAATGTTCAAAACCACGGAAGCTAAATTGTAGAAAAATCTTTGTTGCTTAAAAACAGATGCTGATTGTAAACAGTAGCTTTAGTTCTTTAGACTCCTGTGACCGAGAAGAAAAATGGTTGGGGCAGTTTGCCCTCAAATAGAATCTCGCTGCTGTTCCTGCTGCTGAAGCAAATAAATGCATGAAGTACTCTTCTCCTTTGATACATGAATTTCCACAGTTATCCTCTCCTTTACTTTGTGAGGAAAAATGTTTGAGGCCCCAGTAGTATTAAATTTTCAGCAGTCTGTCTGAAAGCTTAAGACTGTATGAAGCATATGCAACTTGAGGCAGAGAAGTCACTAATGTATGCAGATGATGAGACTGTGTTCCTTTGAAAAAAAACTAACAGCATCTGCCCCAGAAACATTAAATGTAATATCTGAATTTGGAGTCATCTCAGGCGACTGGATGAAATAACAATACCCTTGTCAAAACGCTTTTCATCAGTTTTATTTGCCCTGTGGAAATTGAAATGGAAAGCCTAGAATGTAACATTCAGGAATGGAATTAAAATATGTGATTAAACTGAATAGTTGAGGAAAACGTGGGCTAGGTAATCACACAATGAATAAAGGAATGCTTGAAAACTGAACTCTGCTCAGTCTCGATATATGGGCGAGTCCCTGTGAACCGCATTGCATTAGACCTAAATTATGCGGCAAGGCCTCCTGATTTATATAAAAGCTGCACTGAGTTCTGCAGCACCCTTTGCTGTTCTTCTGGAGTTTCTTTGCAGCTAGCCATACAAAGGCAGCAAAACGACAGGAGGGAAAGAGGCTCACTGTGAAGTGATACTTACTTTGCTTCGTAACAGATGAGTGCTTGTTCAGAGTACTGTGGAGAATTTTTTTATGTTCTAATTAGTTCTGGCTGCTGACAGGGATTTGGTAAGCACGTGTGGTGGGAGAGGGAGGAAAAGAAGGAGAAAACATTCCTATGGAGGTAAGGGGGATCGTTTGCATACACCAAAAGCAAGGGTATTTAGAAAGCTCGTGTGCCTGTTCAGATATTTCTTGGTTACTTCCAATGTCTTTAGAAGTATTTTCTGTTACAGCGGGTCCAGAGGAGGGCTGCTAAGATGATCAGAGAGCTGGAGCACCTCTCCTATGAGGAAAGGTTGAGGAAACTGGGCTTGTTTAGCCTTCTTTTCTCCAAGCTATGGGGAGATCTCACTGTGGCCTTCCAATACTTGAAGGGAGCTTATAAACAGGAGGTGGGGGACGACTGTTTATGAGGGTAGATAGTGATAGAACAAGGGGTTTTAAACTGAGACAGGGGAGGTGTAGGTTAGATATTAGGAGGAAGTTTTTCATTCAGAGCGTGATGATGCTCTGGAACAGGTTGCCCAAGGAGGCTGTGGATGCCCCATCCCTGGAAGCATTCAAGGCCAGGCTGGATGTGGCTCTGGGCAGCCTGGTCTGGTGGTTGGCAACCCTGCACATAGCAGGGGGGTTGAAACTAGATGATCATTGTGGTCCTTTTCAACCCAGGCCATTCTGTGATTCTTTAGAATTTCCTTTGCTCACCTTCAGGGCAAAGCAGCAATACTTTTCTGTTTTTTACATCCATTTCCCTGAGGTGTACTATATCTTGCCTCCTCTTTAACATGCAACACTGTTGGAAATGAGGCAAATAAGTTGGCCTCTCCATCTTAATGGAAGTGGCAGCCTCAGGAACAGGGAGGTGAGTAAGCTGAGGGCAAGAAAGTGGCCACTTCTGTTGTGTGTTTGAGTAGCCAGAAAAATCTGTTTTATCTTCGTGGCAGACAGTTAAGATTGTGCTTGTTTAATGACTCATCTCATTGCAAATGTATCTCATATAGCAAATATCAGTGCAGAAGATTTCAGAGACAGTAGAGGTAGCTGGTACTCAACTGGTTGTGCTTTTCTGCCATTCCTTTTTCAAACACAGAGGAAATATTTTCTCTGTTTAGATGTCTGGACTTTTTGTAGTGTCTGTGTATGTGTGTGTAAATATGTCTATATATATATATACACACACACACACACACGGTACAATAAGTTGATCTTACAGAGGAAGCTTCAGTATTTGGCAGATCTTATCCTTTATCAATGACATCTTACACAGTTCAATTACAGCTTGTCAAAAGCATTCTCCACTGTGGAGCAGAGTGGAAAAACAAATTACACACAAATGACACTGGACTGTTACAGTCAACTCAGGGACTAGCAACCTCTTGACTTCCTCACTAAGATGTGTGAAAAGCAATGGAAGTATAATGTAAAATATGGGAGGAAAGATAACATGGCTTTCTGCAGTTCTGAACTGAATGGAACAGCAGTGATGCTGAATCCTGTGCAGATGACCCATGAGTGAGTGATGGGGAACAGAGAATTCCTGGGATGAGAGGGGTAAAAAATAAAATTACTTGGGGCCACAGTTGTGTGCTGGGGGGGGGGGGAGGACCTGCCTAGCTCATTTGGCTATCACAATACTATCAGTAGGAAAATTTATTTTGAGGATGTTGCCAGGAAAGCGATGGGGTTTTGCTTTAAATTAATCAAGTATTTAAATCAGCTATGAGCATTTAAATAGAACCTGACTACCTGTTTTAGCAGAATGGATGATTGTGTTGGTGTTGCGTTCTTGTTGGTAAAATTGCTTTGGCCTGCTAGGTAACTTATGCAATATTGTCTATAAATGAGACTTTTTTTTCTGTTTCTAGAGGAAACTTGAGCACTGCATATTGGTAGTCAACTTCCAGATAAAACTCAGCTAAAGATGAAACTCTTAAGTTTTCAATTACTGTTTTTGTCAAACTTGAATCAGAGAGCCTGGAGTGTACGCAGTCACTGATCTCAGGCTTTAGATAGCTCTGCTGTGCCTCCACCATGTGATATTTGACTAAAGGTAGGATTTTATAAGGCTGATCATAGCAACACATTTGTCTGAAAATGCCTTTCCTGTCTGATCTTCCTCAGTGCCCCTAGGATTTAAAGTCAGGGTCTAATAGCTTTGGGAGGGGTTGAATTTTATTTGACAGAGTATGTGGTCTTCTGCAGAGAGAAGCATCATAGAGCTCCCCTGGCTTCATTTAAAAAAAGGCAGGTGGTGTGGAAATAAAACACTGTTCAAAAAGTGACAACTGCTCTTGAAAGGAAAGGGTAGAACATAAATATGGTTTTTATGATGGTTTGTATGTTTCACTGAAGAATTTCTACTCTATGCAGCTGTGTTTAGGTTGGTCACTTACATAAGTGCTTCTTCGCTGTTTCTCTTAGTGGTAGTTCTGTGGACATGGTGACTTGTCAGGGTGTTGTGGTGGTGTAAACTCTCAGAGTCACAGAGGAAAAAGAAACAGATTGTGCTCCCCTAAATCTACAGGCAGTAACTGTAAGTTATAAATTGTGTGTGTGTGTGTGTGTGTGTGTGTGTGTGTGTGTGTATGTCTGTATATTAAATATTCTGCCCAAAAAGAGGAAGGTCTGGTGCTCTCTACTTACCTAAAACAAGGTAAATGTGTTGAGGCAGGTGGGAATGTGTGGGTAAGCAACAATGTGAAAGTAACTTCTTAAAATCTTTCAGTTTTGCTGGAAACTGTAAGACAAGCATGTAATGTGTTACTGAGAATTAAACGATGGTATCAAGTTGCATTACTCAAAATCTAGGACATCAAATGAGCAGTTCACATCCCTGCCCGTTTTTGTGTTTGCTGTCACACTGGGAACAAGTGAGCAGCTATTGCTGTGCCTTCATTTGGATATGATGGGCTATGAAAAGTAAGGAAATAAGTAACTGATAGAATTCTCAAGTGTTTTTCTAGTTGTCTCTCTGTGGAACAAGATAAGAGGTGGGAGCAATGCGTGGTGTGTTTTGTAATGGTTTTAGCTTTGTTGATGTGTTTTCTAGGAAAAAAACTAGGTTGGTTGAATCTGTGATTAAGTGATGGAATAATTCCTTACAGGAAGGAGAAGAAGTCAGAACATTGAGTAGTTTAAATCTAGAGTGCACAGAGGATTAGAAAAGGTACAGGGAGGAATAATTTTGTGTTGGCAGGAAATAGACTTAATAGTACTTTTTATCTGTAATTTTTATGAATCTATGGCTAACTGGGGAAAAGTTTAATGTTCCTGATACAGCAACTGAAGGTAGGAGAAGGAAGATTGACATACCCAGAGCTGTTATAATTCATTTCATTACTTCACACAAGGCTTTTATATTGTCACGCCCATAAAGCGCCAGTGTGTGTGCTTATAGCCAATTCATCTTTATATACTGCTGCTGATCCCACTGAAGTGAATGGCAAAACTCCCATCAATTTTAATGGCAGTGGTATATGGCCCATTTTGTAGATATACAATGTATATTTCCTGCACATACTACTTTCCGTGTATAATGTGTCTCTCATCTGAGGCTCTGAGAACGTTTTACAAAGCGGTTAATTCAAAACCATTCATGTCGCCTCCAACTGATAATGTGATCAATCTTCAGAAGGAGATTTAGAAGTTGGCATTTGGTTATTTATTTATTTTAGGCACAGTATGCACTTAGAAGGTCTCCATGTGTGAAGGGCCATCTTTGGAAAATTTCCATGAATGAGTTGCTGGAAGTAACTAGATTGGAAATGCATGTCGTACTTGCAAGGTTACCATTATGCTTCAAAACTGAAAAATAGGAAGCATCAAGGAGAATTGAAGGCAGCATGGATCACTGGGTTTGTACATTACTGGTAGTCTGCAGCTCCAGAGGCTTAGAAAGGTCCCTTTTGGATATCACCTGTGTGAATGGAATAGATTCACTTAATTAACAGGGTACAAATAAATAAAAAGGTCATTATTGACTCTTTGGCTATCTTAGCATTCTTAACTGAGAAACACATTAAACAGTGGTGAGGTACATACTCCTTCCAGAACCCATCATCCTTGAGCCTGTTTGAAATAAATGTGCAATGTATGAGCTGTGTTTTAGTGACTCTAAACTCTTGCTGGTTTTGCTTTGAAAAATGTGGATTCATAACAGCATTCAGCATGGGCGTGATAGAAATAAAGCTATCTGACAGACCTGTGTCTTGAGCATCTTCCTTCTTTCACAGTTATGTATGTACGTATGTATGTTGGGTAGCATTCACATTCCTAGCTTAATGAGATAACAGAGTTTGTAGAGGACCTAAATGAGAAGTTGCAATGTTACTTAGCCTTACAGCATAGTTGTGAGTCATGTACTAACAGAGACTATATCATTCAGCAAACTCTACTGCAGGTGGCTTTCTGTACAACATGCTCTTTCACTTAGCATGTGCTATTCCTTCTGGAACTGGAGCATGCAAAGACTTATGGTCTCTTTGACTGGGCTGTATGCAAGAGTATATGCACCTTGTTGAAGTAGGCCTCTTTTTGGTTAGGGCTGTAACATTGAAGAGTGTGTCTTCATGAATTTAAGTAGCTGTGTTGTGGTGGGGAAAATACCACCACCCGGAAGCATGTTAATGTCATCTAACCATGCAAGCAGTCAATTTTCATGCAGTCCCCTACATAGCAACTCATGTAAAGCAGTTGTCACCCAAGACAAACAGGAATTATCTGATTCAGTTGGTTTTCATTGCCTTTTATTTTTTAACCTTGTTTAAATATA